CGTCATCACCCCCACACACGTCATCACCCCCAACGTCATCACCCCACACACGTCAACACCCCCACACACATCACCCCACACACACGTCATCACCCCCACACGTCATCACCCCCACACACACGTCATCACCCCCCACACACGTCATCACCCCCACACGTCATCACCCCCCACACCGTCATCACCCCACCTACACCTATACACAGAGTCTAGGTATAATTATAGTAACGTCGATTTTTATGTTATATGTATTTCCACTCACAAACATCTACTTATTGTTCATGTCCGGTTTTACAACGAGTGTTTTAATTATATATCACATTAAATTAATATTCAAAGCTGTGTTATGAATAGCGTAGTTGCTGACCCAGGAATGAAATGTGTAATGCCTCTCCTGGAACGGGGGTAACTAATATATTAATTCTATTTATCCTGGGAGAGACATATTGTGTAATGTTATGGTTAATGGAGGAATATAATGGTCTTAACTCACGTGTTAGGAGGTCGACCATGACTAATTATGTTAAGGGCCTTATGTGTTTTATTTAGGTTGTTTAGGATAGAGACTTATGTTTAACCTCCTGTGACTGTGTTTGTACGTGTATGTGTTTTTCATGCTGGTTATGTCACCGAACTATCAGATATTGTTGGTTTTAATTTATTTATGCACACACAAGGCTGTATATTTTGTCAGGGTTAAAAGTTTTACAGTGATATTGACGTTCATGGTAATATATGGCATACTGTTATACACACAAACACACACACACACACACACACACACACCATTATCTAACATATTTAATTTTTATCCTACCAGCATTATTACACATAGAGTCAAGTTCCCATTATATGCACTACTACAACATCTCTGACTTGTGTGTGTGTGTGTGTGTGTGTGTGTGTGTGTGTGTGTGTGTGTGTGTGTGTTTGACATGGATATTAAGTCAATAAATCAATAACACACTTCACGTCACAGTTTATTTTTACCAGTCTCAATTTTTCATCTTTTTTTCCAACATAAAAATAAATAATTTCAAAACAATATACAAAATGTGATCCACGGAGCCTGGTCTTAGAGATGACCACCAACCCTTTTATAAACTTGAATTGCAGCAGAAAAATACATATTTTAGTTCCGAGCAGAATGAGAGCGACCCTGTATAGTCGATGCCTGACACCGCCGCCAGTAGTAGAGGCAACACTGTACCGTCTGATGACTCAACCTGTAAGGACGGAGGTACTAGTTACCCCTACAGCTGCCAACATGTACCTGAATATACATACAAGTGCATACAAATTATACTCGTGTCACTATACAAGTTATGGAGTTTATAGTTCTGTATGTTGACCACCACTGTACCGGGACGACCATCCACTGTACCGACAACTCGGTGTCCTGTAATATCCGTCCGAGCAAAATTTTACATCCTGGGATTAACTTGGATGTCGCCAGTATTACAGAACCTAAATAACAGCAAAATCCTCTTTCGTCTGTACTAACATTTTTCTGGTCTCAGTTTTGTTGAGAATAAAAGGCGTGGCAGAGTATAAATCACACTTCTACTGTAGTCGTGTTCAGTCCAGAATTTGAACAACATTAACCCTCTGAGACTTGACCTCCCTCTGGTGTTATTTAATCTAACAGACCAAAAGTTGGGTAAAGGGAATACCCATTGTGAATTGGCCAATTTTGAACGTGAGGCGAAAGTAACTCTATTACGTCAAAGGGGCTTATAACCTCCCGAGGAAAACATAATTTGTTTTAAATAGAGGAAGATGAAACTGATACGAGATAGACATGAAAATAATAATGAAATAAAAACACAGAATAAATATTAAAAAGTGATAAAATATATATCAGAAATAACTCATCTTTTGTCATTTTCAAGTGTAATAATGTGTCACCAGACTGCAGCTCAACATGACCGCTGGTGTTCGTTTGACAACTATTTTAGGATTACCGACTTATGACACGAGAGAGAAACATGATACAATGTAGGCCGTCTAATCCCTCCAAGTCTATAAAGGATAAATCAACACAGGAAGAAAACTTTAGACACAAAAACGAGAAGGTTGACAAGAGCTTCACCACAAGGACAGGAGTCACTGCTTCACATAACGTTATTAAACTGTTAGACCTGCAGCCTCTGTGACTCCCAAGACATCACCTCTGCCCGGCTAATAATTAGTACCACAGTATATACCTTGTGGAGATAATATTTTCTGGCAGGACAATTTATATATACAAATGGTGTATTGATGTTTATATTAGATTTATGGCTGTGTTTAAGAGTGAACAAAAAAACAGTTGGGTTTATTTGAAGGTACATGTCTCTCTCTCCAGCCTATAATCATTTATCCACTCTTTTATATCCCCAAACACACACACACACACACACACACACACACACACACACACACACACACACCAGTTTTATCCCCCCTTCACACACTCTTCCACACCGGGATATTTTAGACCAATATCCTTTTATTTCGTCTCTTTCTTCTAGTTATCGTCCCTGCCTCACACCCGACCAATCAGGTGGAGACGATGGAACCCACCTTCTCTGTACAAATGGACGAGGAACTGGAACATTTGTCGGGAGTTTTTTCTCTCTGATATCTTCCTCTCCTCTCTCCTACCCCCCTTTTCATTCTCCTCTTCTCCTCCTTCCTCCCCCTCTTCTTCATCCTCACTCCCTCTCCACCTTACCTTATTCTCCCTCCTCCCCACTTCCCTCTCCCTCCTCCCCACTTTCTTCCCCTCTCAACAACAACAATGATGATGGCGATTAATAATAATAATAATAATAATAATAACGATAACAATTGACGACGATGACGATAATGACAATGACGATGACGATAATGACAATGACGATGATAACGATGAAATAGATAAACTGAGCGATGCTTTGAAAGATATATATATCATTTCAGATAGACTTCAGGAATATAGATATTGTTATAGACAGACAGACACACACACATAAAAGCTTCAGGTATTAAAAAAATATCTTGACCAACACTGTAGTCAGAGCTGCAGAAATAATCCCAACTCAGACGTGGGAGTTTTCAGTGGCTTTGTTCATCTGTGTTTAGAAAGAACTTGATGTTATTTTTATATCACACGAGATCTGTTTCCTTGTGTGTTTGTTTGTCGTAACTTAAAAAAAAAAAACATTTCCTTTTAGTGTTTGGTGAGTTTTTTTTTTATGTGTTTTGATAAAGATGTGATAAATGGAAATAGATATATGTGAACGAGAAACAGAGAGGAGGGATAGAGAGAGAAATGAAAAATGAGAAAGAGGGAGAGAGACAAAATGAAGAAAGAATAGAGAGATAAATACAATTCAGAGAGAAAGATGAACAGAGAAAGAATAGAAGAAAAGAATGTGAGAATTGAGAGAAAGAGAGAGAGATAGAGAGAGTGGGAGAAGGGGGCGAGGAAGAAGGATACAAACTAAAAGAAATTGTGAGTGAGCAAACAGTAGTGAGCAGCTCAGAAGAAACGAACTAACGAAAGATAGAGAGAGGGTGGTGGTTGTTCACTCCCTCTTGTTCATCTCTCTCTCTCTTCTTCTCGTTTACCTTCTTCTCTTCTCTCTCCTCCTCACAGTCCTCTCCCTTCTCTCTTCCTCACTTCTCCTCAACCCCTCCCCCTCACTCCTCTCCTGTCTTTCTCTCCTCTCTCTTCCTCTCCACTCTCCTCCTCTCCTCTCATTAGTGATCAAAAACCTAACCTAACCTAACCTCTCAATGATGACTACGAGACTAGCATCATTGAGTATTATATTGGCAAGATTTAATTCCTTTTTTAATCTACAGTGACTACGAAAATTCATCTACAAACACTTGGATATATTTTTTATTGACTCATCCTTCACTTGACCCAAAAAAATAATTGAGGATGAATCTATATTAATTGTGTAGCCTCAAAGCTCTCCCAGGCGTGAAGACCTACTGTAGGGAGGAAGGCGAGGCGAGGGTCTCTAGTGTAAACATCGTCTCGTCATTCTGTAACTTGTAAAAAAAAAAAATGAAAATATTTCCTCGTACTTTCATTCGGTTTTATATTTTAAGAAAGAAATTTAATTAATTTTTTGATGTAAGTGAACTGTCAAACTCGAGAGAGAGAATACCACTAGCTGCTCATTATTGGTGGAGCTTCAGTTCATCAAAACACTGACTTTCCATTGAATATAAGCCTTTAGTTCCAGGGTCCAGAAGGTCGACATTCCCCGCCAGTTTGTAAAGCGTTAAACAAAAACACAGATGAAAACATTCGCTCAGATTTTTTTAGATTCAATTTCGACTTTGTTAGGGACCCAAATCAACAAACTCGAGTATTTGTAGAGAGAGAAATGGCAAAAAAAAATCCGCTTTTCAACATGGAAATAAACGGGAAATATTACGGCCTGATAGATTGTTGTGAAAAAAAAATGAAAGAATGATTTATTTGGAAAGTTGTGAGTTGGAAGAATTTACACCTTTGTTGTTGACTGTTGCTTTTTTCTTTTGTTATTTTCTCTATATATTTATGTCTCTTATTACTTTGTTGTATAAATTATTTTCACAGATTAGCATTTATGAAAAACATTATTTATTTACTTTTTTGTGATTTTGCGATAAAACTTTCTATATCTAGTTACTTTTTTCATTCTGTTAACATATTATTATTAATATTGTTGTTTGTTATTGTTGTTATTGTTATTACTGCTATTGTTATTATTATTGTTATGGTTATTATCATTGTTATTATTATGATATTCCTGTAAATAGAAAGCGACATAGAAGATTAGGAGGACATAGACGTATTTACTAGAGATAAAGAGATGCATTGAAAGGTGATAGAAAGGTAGGTCGACAGGTAGACAGGTAGATATATATAGAGGCGAACACAGTGAGAGAGGAGAATAGATCAGATGACGACAACAAACACATTCACCGTAAATTAAATATTTTCTCAGTGTAAAAAATGTGATCATAAACTCAAACAGAAACTTAACCAGCGAATGATTTGCCCACCAGCAGGTTTCAGGGCGGTCCACCAGCAGGTTTCAGGGCGGTCCACCAGCAGGTTTCAGGGCGGCCCACCAGCAGGTCTCAGGGCGACCAACCAGCAGGTCTCAGGGCGACCCACCAGCGAGTTTCAGGGCGGCCCACCAGCAGGCCTCAGGAAGGCCCACCATGCAAGTTTCAGGGCGGCCCACCAGCAAGTTTCAGGGCGGCCCACCAGCAAGTTTCAGGGCGGCCCACCAGCAGGTCTCAGGAAGGCCCACCATGCAAGTTTCAGGGCGGCTCATCAGCGAGTTTCATGGCGGCCCACCAGCGAGTTTCAGAGCGGCCCACCAGCAGGTCTCAGGGCGACCCACCAGCGAGTTTCAGGGCGGCCCACCAGCAGGTCTCAGGGCGGACCACCAGTGAATTTCAGGGCGACCCACCAGCAAGTTTCAGAGCGGGCCACCAGCAGGTTTGGAGGCGGTGTACTTGTTGATCAAAGTTACTCTGAGGTTCTGGGCCAAAATATATTCTCTCCAAACTCATCGCCGACCACACTCCTTTGGTTTGGTTAGGTTAGGTTGGGTTAGGTTGGGTTAGGTTGGGTTAGGTTAGGTTAGGTTAGGTTGGGTTAGGTTAGGTTGGGTTAGGATGGGTTCTGGGTACAAAGCCCGGATTCATGAACAACATTAAGCACTCGTGAAGCAATATTTTTAACCAATGACATTACAGTAATTCAATTATCCTAATGACCAATAAGATCACAGGAGCATTTAACGTGACTATTGTCGTCCATATTACCTTATTAAACTCTTATAATTAAATTCACTTAGTGTCAAATTTAACTCATTCAAGACTTATATCCCTGTTGCTCTCAAGATCACATGACCAATGAGAGAGTTATACATTATTTTGTCCAATAATCCAGATCAGGGAACAATATGGTCACCAGATAGGTTTAACACACACACACACACATACACACACACACACAGACACACACACACACATACACACACACACACACACACACACACACACACACACACACACACACACACACACACACACCACCAGTTTGTGCAGGTTTAGACAAAAATAAAACTGAAAACATTCGGTTATATTTTTTTCAGATTCAATTTCGACTTAGTCAGGGATTCAACTCAACGAAACTCGAATATTTATAGAGATATGAAAAAAATGAATCCAGTCTTCAACACGGAAATAAAGGAGAAGTTTATTGGTGTTATAGAGTGTTGTGTACAAGTCAATGGTTGATTTATTTACAGAGTTATGATTTTATTTTGTAACTTCTGTTATTTTTGTTAACTTTATTTTGTAACTTCTGTTGTTTTTGTTGATTTCTTTATGACAAAAACCATCAATTAATATTCTCGTTTATTATACAATCATCAAGGTTAAAACAAAGAGCCGTATATTTTGTTTCTTTCATATAGTGTAAATTAACCTTAGATAAATTAATGTAAGTTATGTATTTTATGTTTACTGCTTAGATTATTATTATTATTATTATTATTATTATTATTATTATTATTATTATTGTTGTTGTTATAAGGAATGAAGTCGTGTCCATTAGATAGACACACACATTATATATATACGGACAAGTTATCCCTTCATCTTAACATTCTCCGAACTGTTGTAGACCAAAGGCGAACATTCCCCCAGAAACAGAATTCCTGATATAACATTATTAATAAACTAAGTAACATGGCGAGGGAGAGATACTTGTTGGTGTGACTTACCTGCAAGTAACTATCCGTAGCACGTCCACCCCCCTCTCCCTCCTCCTCACTGTTCCTTTACTGCCCTGGAAGGTATGTGAGAGATTACCCTTCGCTTAGTGCCCTTCGTTTAGTGCCCTTCGCTTAGTGCCCTTCGCTTAGTTCCCTCTCGTTAGTGCCCTTCGCTTAGTGCCCTTCGTTTAGTGCCCTTCGTTTAGTGCCCTTCGCTTAGTGCCCTTCGTTTAGTGCCCTTCGTTTAGTGCCCTTCGCTTAGTGCCCTTCGTTTAGTTCCCTCTCGTTAGTGCCCTTCGCTTAGTGCCCTTCGTTTAGTGCCCTTCGCTTAGTGCCCTTCGTTTAGTGCCCTTCGTTTAATGTACAATGTGGCTATTTGCCTGGTTGGGCGTGATGCTGGCAGGAACACTTGACCATATGTGTCGAGATAATTTATATCATGTTAATTATGAGGATAAAATTAATGTTATTTTACTTGTGATATTTTTTGGTATAATACAACTTGTTCTTGATAATGTTGTTGTTGTTTGTAATGATGGTAGTATTGGTGGTAGTGTTATTCTCTATTCTCTCTCACAGTTCTGTATTCTCTTTCACTTTGTATTCTCTCTCTCAGTTTTATTTTTTGCCTATCACCTCCAGTCTCTGTCAATTCACTACATTCGGTCAGTTCTGTATTTTTTCCCGTGAGCTGTGAATCCCTCGAGCTGTCATTCTAAACCAATTCCTTTGTATCGTAAACTATTCACATCCTCCCCCGTCCACCTCACAGACACAAACGTTTATAGAATGAACCTTTACCGTAACTGAAGAAGATGTTAAAAATATACCTAACTGTTTGATCTTAGTTAAAACACATAATTGACGCCCAAAAGTACCATTGAAAATATCAGAAATTGTAAGTTAACTGTAAACGGTCAGTTAGCACCAGTTAGATAGTTTGGAATAGATATGTACAGTCAATCAAAAAACTATCTTTACAAAATTGTGTTGAAAAAATATGACAGAATGAACGAAGGATTTTGACAACCCTACCGAGACAACAGGATTCATAGTGTTCATTCTGGAATTCATCGATCACCCCAAGTACAGATAGTTCTTTGGGTGACTGTAAAGTATATATTGATATTGTCTCCTAATTAGTTTAATGGGTTATAGCCACATGTTCAAACAAAGTGCAGAAAATGGCCACCAACCTGACTAATGTAGATCTGGGTTTAGTGATCAGAATATTAACACATCATTTTAACATAATATTTGTAACTGAACCAATTTAGTGTTTTCTTATCTACCAGGAACAGACATCGTATGAACCTTTGTGAACCGGGATAACATAAGCCTTTACTTGATGAACCTTTGTGTCTTCTTCGCTAATTTCTCAGTATTGTTATTATTATATAGAAAGATGTACAGTGAAACCTCCATATAATGGACTTTCATCTCCATATAGTCCGTTAGATGGGAGGTTTCACAACTAATGAAACCTCGAGATAACACACTTTCATATATATATATATATATATATATATATATATATATATATATATATATATATAAAATATGCACTTCGCTAGATGGAGGTTTCACACCCAATGAACCCTTGACATAATGGAATTCTCTCTCCATATAGTCCGTTGAATAGAGGTTTCCTGTAAACTGTGGTGTTTTTATTAATTTACAAATAAAATTTAAGTATATACGCATGCACTGTCACACACACACACACACACACACACACACACACACACACACACACACACACACACACACACACACTGAAAGCAGGTGACTCGAGCGAATTCCAGAGCTCAGCGGTGAATTGAGGTGAAGTAAAAGCTTTCTCTAGCCACGGGTCGGGAGGTCGTGTTTGCTTTCAATCTATTTTGTGATTTCAGTTTCAAATCAGTTGAAGTGCGTGTGTGTGTGTGTGTGTGTAGTGCCTCCGAGACAAGGCCTTGACAGACATTCAAAAACAGTCTTTACGTACATTATTACATCGGAATTTCTGGATTATTTCCTGGTATTTGATATTAAATAATGCGATAAGATTTTTTTAGTGGGTTTTCAAACGTGAAAAATCTGCGAAGGTAAAACAAGTTGTTGAGGGAGGCTGAGTGGTTAATGTTGTCGTGGGATTATAGGTGAATGTGTGGCCTAGTTGTGATGGTGGTGAGGTGATGGCAGGGGAATACCTGAGGGACGCCTCACACAGGTAAGTGTAGCGTGTCGGAGGGGAGAGTCATTAATTATGCACCTGTGCCTCAGGTGAGCACTTCGCAGCCCACGCAGCTGCACAACTGGGAATTAAACCCTGAGTGTCACCTTTCCGGAAACGATGCACATGCGGGCCACGTTTAAGGGAACACGTGTGTAGTTGTTAAACTGTATGTTGCGGTGATAATAAGGCACTGATCATTATGTAAAGTGAGGTGTTATAAACTTTGTTAATAAAACTTTGGGAACCAAATTATTTTCACTAAAAACAATAGTTAACAAGTATCTGCCCCCCCCCCACACATGCAACGGGTTAACTGTACACATTTTTACTCTGGCACAGTTGGTAACACAAGTCAGCACACTACACTACGCCATAATGTTCTACGCCGGAAACTTAATACCTCTGGCCTGTGACACAATCGTTCCGTCACTGTGCTTAAGACCGTGATGCCAGCGATACCTGCAATAAGGTGGCGTGGCTGCCTGCTCTCCTTCTCACCATATTTACCTTTTTCCTCTTAACTTACTGCTACCAGTCTCATATCTCCTACCTCTCCCCAACCTTTACCCTATCCTACCCTCTCCCTTCCATGCACCCTATCCCACATTCCCACACCCTTTAATGCCTCCCTCACCTCCCTACCTTTCCTCCTCCTCCCCCTCTCACACCTACAGCTGCGACACAAAACTTTTCTTTATTGCCTGAGTTTCTCACTGGCTCACGGCTCCACACTGGTGAGAACTGACAAGTTGTGTAATACACCGACTTGGAAAAGAATCTCGTAAAATCTTCAAAGACCGGCAATTTTCACCCCGCTATTTCCCTCTCAACTTGGGCACATTTTCTCACCTCTAGACCACGATGGTGTGTAGAGGAGCCCAACAGTACAATAAATATAATAATAATAACGAAAACTGCTTACTAATGAGCTGAACAAAGAGCAATTTCACTCCAAAACCTGACAATGTCTTAAAGATGTGTTCATAAGTTCTCTCCTCACCGACACAAAGCCACGTTCTCACCTTCATGTTCCCCCGAGACTAAGAAACAAAAGACTAAGAAAAGTCGCCGTTCAACAAGACACTCGGAATCAGAATAATGGTGAGAACACAGAGGGAGGAAATTTCAGAATGAGGAAAAAAGGAACAGGTGGGATGAGAGACGGAGGTAAGGGCCTGGTAGGAAAGGGTAGACAGCGTATAAAAAAAAGGTGTATGAGCCGTGTAAGAAGATTTGACAGAGCAGAAGAAGCGGTGAGGGAGCTGAAATATTATATAGGATCAAAAAGAATGGGACGGAGGAAGGTGTTGAAGGGGTGGTAAGGTCAGAGGAGCTGGTCTGATACTTGTGGTTACTTTGTTTCCTCAGTGGTCAGGGAGGGAGGCAATCCACCGTAACTAGAGACATGAAGCACGTGAGACAAGAAGTGGGTTTTATCTCTCTCTCTCTCTCTCTCTCTCTCCCTTCTGAGTGAACCATTGCCTAACCACCCTTATAGAGATTCAACTTCGTGACCTTGAAAATTAGAAGCCAACAGAGAACTAAAAAATACCGGCGCAACTCACACACAAAAACCGTGTAATGGTTCTTGAAGAGTCAAGTTTGAAGGAGGGAGGGGAGGAGAAAGAGGAAAAAGAGAAGAAGAAGGGACGGGGTGAAGAGGGAAGGGGGAGAGGAAGGAAGGGGGAAGAGCATCGTGCAAGAAAAAAGATTAGAGTTATAAAAGAGGATCAGAAACTTCTTAGAGAAAAACGGGCAAATCCCAGAACATAATCCTTCAAGAGGGCACCTGAGACCTAGCGTGGCCAGGTGGTGCTCTCAGGGCGGGATGTACTGTACTTAACGCTGAGTGTACCGCCGAGTGTGTTGGGTGAGGGGAGGTGTAGTTAGAAGTTAGGCAGGTGGAGGTGTAG